GGCGCCGCGACCAGAACTGGGGGTGGCAAGTAGAGGAGGAGAGTCGGCGACGCCGCCAGAAGCTGTACGCCAGGCCGGGGCGGCGGGAGCCGCGGGAGCCAGAGAGCGGGCGCCAGGAGCGCGACAGGAGGTTCCCTGAGGAGCAGGAGCTAAGGCAGGAAAGGGAGGAGGAGCAGGCACGGGACAGGAGGTTCCGTGAGGAGCAGGAGCTGCGACAGGAAAGGGAGAGAGAGCAGGCACGGAACAGGAGGTTCCGTGAGGAGCAGGAGCTCCGTCAGGAAAGGGAGGAAGAGCAGGCACGGAACAGGAAATTCCGTGAGGAGCAGGAGCTGCGACAGGAAAGGGAGGAAGAACAGCTGAGCCACCAGGAGCGCGACAGAAGATTCCGAGAGCAGGAGCTCCGTCAGGAAAGGCAGGAAGAACAGGCACGGAACAGGAAATTCCGTGAGGAAAAAGAGCTCCGACAGGAAAGGGAGAGAGAGCAGGCACGTGACAGGAGGTTCCGTGAGGAAAAAGAGCTCCGTCAGGAAAGGGAGAGAGAGCAGGCACGGGACAGGAGGTTCCGTGAGGAAAAAGAGCTCCGTCAGGAAAGGGAGAGAGAGCAGGCACGGGACAGGAGGTTCCGTGAGGAGCAGGAGCTGCGACAGGAAACGGAGGAGGAGCAGGCACGGGACAGGAGGTTCCGTGAGGAAAAAGAGCTCCGACAGGAAAGGGAGAGAGAGCAGGCACGGGACAGGAGGTTCCGTGAGGAACAGGAGCTGCGACAGGAAACGGAGGAAGAGCAGCTGAGCCACCAGGAGCGCGACAGAAGATTCCGAGAGCAGGAGCTCCGTCAGGAAAGGCAGGAAGAACAGGCACGGAACAGAAAATTCCTTGAGGAAAAAGAGCTCCGTCAGGAAAGGCAGGAAGAACAGGCACGGGACAGGAAATTCCGTGAGGAACAGGAGCTCCGACAGGAAAGGGAGGAAGAGCAGGCACGTGACAGGAAATTCCGTGAGGAACAGGAGCTCCGACAGGAAAGGGAGAGAGAGCAGGCACGGGACAGGAGGTTCCGTGAGGAACAGGAGCTGCGACAGGAAAGGGAGAGAGAGCAGGCACGTGACAGGAAATTCCGCGAGGAACAGGAGCTGCGACAGGAAAGGGAGGAAGAGCAGCTGAGCCACCAGGAGAGCAACAGAAGATTCCGAGAGCAGGAGCTCCGTCAGGAAAGGCAGGAAGAACAGGCACGGAACAGGAAATTCCGTGAGGAACAGGAGCTCCGACAGGAAAGGGAGAGAGAGCAGGCACGGGACAGGAAATTCCGCGAGGAACAGGAGCTGCGACAGGAAAGGGAGGAAGAGCAGCTGAGCCACCAGGAGAGCAACAGAAGATTCCGAGAGCAGGAGCTCCGTCAGGAAAGGCAGGAAGAACAGGCACGGAACAGGAAATTCCGTGAGGAACAGGAGCTCCAACAGGAAACGGAGGAAGAGCAGCTGAGCCACCAGGAGCGCAACAGAAGATTCCGAGAGCAGGAGCTCCGTCAGGAAAGGGAGGAGCAGGCACGGGACAGGAGGTTCCATGAGGAACAGGAGCTCCGTCAGGAAAGGGAGGAAGAGCAAAAACGCAACAGGAAATTCCGTGAGGAGCAAGAGCTCCGTCAGGAAAGGGAGAGAGAGCAGCTGCGCCGCCTGGAGCGCAACAGAAGATTCCGAGAGGAGGAGCAGCTTCGTCAGGAAAGGGAGGATGAGCAGCTGTGGCGCCAGGACGGCAACAGGAAATTCCGTGAGGAAAAAGAGCTCCGTCAGGAAAAGCAGGAAGAGCAGGATCGCGAAAGGAAGTTCCGTGAGGAGGAGCAGCTGCGCCACCAGGAGAAGCGGGACAGGAAATTCCGTGAGGAGCAGGAGCTCCGTCAAGACAGGGAGGAGGAGCAGCTGCGCCGCCAGGAGCGCGACAGAAGATTCCGTGAGGAGGAGCAGCTCCGTCAGGAAAAGCAGGAAGAGCAATTCCGCCGCAAGGAACGCGACATAAAATTCCACAGGGAGCAGGAGCTGGACCGGGAAAGGGAGGAAGCGCAGCTGCGCCGCCAGAAACTTGACAGAAAATTCAAGGAGGAGGAACAGCTCCGTCAGGAAAGAGAGGAAAAGCAGCTGCGCCGCAGGGAACGAGAGCAACAGCTTCGGCAGGAACGTGACCGAAGATTCCGTGAGGAACAGCTCCGTCAGGAAAGGAAGGAGGAGCAGCTGCGCCATCAGGAACGCGACAGAAGATTCCGTGAGGAGCAGCTGCGTCAGGAAAGGGAGGAGGAGGAGCAGCTGCGCCGCCAGGAGCGGGACAGTAGATTCCGTAAGGAGGAACAGCTCCGTCAGGAAAGGAAGGAAGAGCAGCTGAGCAGCCAGGAACGACAAGGTCGCTACCGGGCTGAGGGGCCCTTTGTCAGGGAGAAGAATAGTCAGGAGCAAGCACTGAGGCGAGAAGAGCAGAGAAGTCTCCTAGAGCGGGAGAGGAAATTCCAAGAAGAGCAACTCCAACGCCAAGAAGAGGAGCAAAGGCGCAGCCAAGTCCGAGACAGACAATCCCGAGAAGAAAAAGGTGACCTGGAGACCGGCAAACGCCAGTTTGCCCATGTTCCAGTGGTGCGCTCCAGCCCCCTCTATGAGTACATCCAAGAGCAGAGATCTCAATACCGCCCTTAAGAGCTGCTACCAACATGCTAACACCGGCCAAAGCTTCAAGCAAAAGAAAATGAGAAGCACTGAGTACCAAATGATAACTCATGTGCTTCTGGTTGTGGGGAAACTCTGATGTTAGAATGTGTCTTTTCTTCCAAAATCTTAAGCTACATTTAATTACTTTTTACTCCTTGCCTTTTAGTCATCCTCTGATAGGTCTTTACTACAAGATGTCTTTGCTCTTTGGTGAAGATTTGGTGTGCATTTAAAAACATAAAAATCATTTAACTTGTTTATGGAGTTTTGTTTGAGGAACACGTTGATGTATTACCTTCAAAACTAACTAGAATAATACAACAATTTGAGACTCAAGACAAGTCTATTTTTAATGGTTGACCATATTGTGAAGATTTTACGTGTGTTTAAAAGTTAAAGATGATTTTTTTCCCTTGGATCTAAATTCCATTAATCTTTATCTCCAAAATGTTTTTGGTGTGTGTGTGTGTGTGTGTATGTCATGATTATCACAGATTCCACTGAGTAAATTTTTACAATCCTTTAATGATGCAGGAGTGACTTCTGCAAGAAAATTCTCTGTGAAATTAGCCTATAACTGAAAGAAATATTTGCTAAGAATAAGATTTAGCTTAAAGATTTAGAATTTTGGATTTTTTTTAACAATGAATAGCACATAAACACTTAAAGTCTCATTAAGCAAAAGCAAGGTGTTTCTCAACCTCAGAGCTCAGATTTTAAAAGTGTCTACTATAGTTTGTAGTGCTCAGTTCTAGTCCTCCAAGTTTTGATGGGTTTGAAAATATCACTTTTGTTAATTTTAATTTAGAGGGAACCTAATCAGGATCCTGTAAATATCTGTTTTGTTATAGGGCCAATAAGAATGTGTATTTGGAGAAAAGTGTGTGTGTGTGTGTGTGTGTGTGTGTGTGTGTGTGTGCGCACGCACAGAGGGGCAAGTTTCTAGAGGCCCTTGACAAGACTTATCAGCCCATATTCCTTTAAAAACATTACCTTGGAGAACTTCTTGCTGAAATAATTGGATTGTATGAAAACTTAATAAATGTTTGGCAAATGATTATTTTTGTCCATTTTAATTATGTGTCAATCATAACTCAAGGTCTAATCAGGAAACTGACATAACTTCCCAGTCATGGGTATTTTGTTTCTATCATCTATGCCCAAATATGAAAAGGAGAGAATCCTCTACTTTTCTCATCCATTTTTTCCAGTTAGAGTGAACCTTATATTATTTCCATCCTGCACTGAAGTTCTCTTTCCAAGTGTTTTTGTTCTTGGTTTCACCACTTTCTCTGCCCTTTCTTGCAGTGACTCACTGGTCATAACAAATACTGGTCCTCCCCACTCTGTCTGAGAATGCAACAACCTTTTGGTCTCTACCGTCAGGCCAATAGCCTATTGTAGAAAATGGCCAAAGTTTCAGATCAGGATTATAGACATAGCAGATGACCTAGTGACTTAAGCAACATAATCCATGAGAAACTGAAGCAGAAGAGCTAAATAATGATCATCTTATTATCCAAAAACCCCTGTGCTACCTGCTGGAGTCTATATTTAGTATTCACCATTTAGTAACTAAGAATAAGTCCAAGAAGACCCTGATCAGGATATATCATTTTTAATTGTGAATATCATGGATAAGACAACGCCTTATAATTACAGTCACCCAACACTTTTGTCAACAGTATAGATGAGGAAACTAGGTCTATAATTTCTGAGTATCATTCTGATACAGTAAGCACATTCTGAAGCAGTAAGCACTTTCTATAAGAAGTTTAGCCCTTCCTACACTTTAATGCAAATGGAAGGTACCCACCAAAGATAGAACCAAGGAATCCCTGAGACTATCTTAGAATTTTGCATCTTTCAAATTATTTTGAACTGCAAAATCATTTTTATCCTAAAGTAAATATATACTTTTTCTTAAAGTTCTTCACAGAAAACCTGTAAAAGCCTCACTGACTTTCCCCAGGATTCCATCAAAGGGCATTCATGTGGGAGCCTCCTTAGAAATAACAAGCCCCAGGAGCCTACTAAAATACACACTTTTCACCTAAGCTACAGTTCAACAGCAATTATAGTAAAAGCAATCTAAGCCCTTTAGACTTGTAGCATTTTACAAGATCATGAAAATATCACTTCCAAAGCAGAAAATAGTATCATTACGATTTTAATAGAGTTTAATGAAAGATGTCAGTCAATCCATGCCCTCTAGCTGTTCTCTTCCCACATCTGGCAGGAAATATGAAAGCCAACTTTCCTGCTCCGCCTGAATAATGTACATGTATGGGCAGGACCTTGAGGCTGTTGGACAGTTGTCTGCTTATCATGAATTGGGAGCTCTAGTAACACCACCTTGGCTGCTGCTGTGGAGAAGGGCAGGGGATTAAATCTGCAGAGGTGTTAAAGCTGGTCTCCATGTGCTATAACTGAACCATACCACACATGTGTGCACACACACACACACGCATGCACATTTAAAGGCCTGACCCTCTTAATTCAGAATATAACCATATTTGTGGATATATTGTTTAAACAGGTAATTAAAATGAGCTTATTAGATTGGGTCCTAATCCAATATGCCTGCTATTCGTACATTATGAGGAAATTTGAACACAGAGGCAAGATGGACTGAAGACATAGAAGATGGCCAGTCAGAACTGAATTAAGACAAGGATAGAGGACTGGAACAGATCCTTCTTATAGCCCTGAGAAGAAACTAATCTACTATCGCCTTGATCTTGAACTTCAAGCTCCAGAATAGTAAGAAAGCAAATTTTTTCCTGTTGGAACTGGAGATCGAACTCAGGACCTTGCGCTTGTGAGAAAGGTGATGGAACCACTGAGCTAAATCCCAGGTCTGTGAATTTCTTCTCATTAGGCCACCCAGCCTGTGATACTTTGTTATGACAGCTCCAACAAACTAATATGTCAAGTGGTATTATGTTGAAAAGAAACCCTCTATTTTGTGATGATACGTATCCTTTGAAATTGCATAAGTAGCCCTGATTGCTTAAAGACATTCTTTTATTAAATCTGCCAGATTTAATAGATTTTCTATGGTGCAGTGGAAAGAATGCCACAAGAAATCAAAAGCCTGGGATTCAGACTTTTTTCCATTGGTTCAACAAATACTTATTGAGTTCTTGCTATGTGTCAAACATTTTTCCAAGAGATAAACATACAGTGATAAAGTCATAACTCTGTCCTTTTCCTTTGCTTATTATCTGTGTGACCTTCTGTAACCCAAATAAGCTTTCCAGGTCCCTTTTGTTTCCTATGTAGATGAAATAGCTATCACCAAGGTTATTCCCAGGACTGAAAAAAAATTAGTTCTAACATTCACCTGAAACTCTAATAGCAACTCAAACAACCATCACCCCAACGTCTACTTTTAGCTAACAAAAAACAGGAAAAAAATTAACTGATGGAAATAATCATCAGAGCCTCAAAAAGCTTTCCTTTCTATCCAGCCATCCCAGAACTTCCTCCACTTGCCTCCTAAAATTCTTATTATTATCTCAGATTTATTCCTTGAGGGAGAAGATCTTAAACATACCCCATTTTCTTTGACTCCAATATACCAAAGATAATTTCCCTTTTGACCTACGAATGTCACATATGCATTTAATTATTCTCATTCTCTTCTAAGAAGAAAACAAAGTCCTACAATATCATTTCACTCAAACTAAAATTCAGTGACCATTAGTGTTAGGTATAAGCCCATCTCTGCTCCATTTTTTGTACTAATTACACATTGCTAATGTTTACATTCAATCATTGTAAGTTTTTTCAGCAGGGGCACTGGGACTATAATCTTCTGAGGATTGTAATCTATGTAGTATACACAATATGTACATTTCCTTTGCATATAGTTGACAGTCAATGCAACAATCTAAAACTAAAAGATTTCTAAGCAGGTTATCATTTTCTAAAATCTCTGATATTCATAGCAAGCATTCACATTACAAAACTCTTTAGAAATTTTATGTCACCACTTTTGTTTTTTTTTTTTAATGTATGGCATTTTTCTGCAAGATAAAATTCAAGGTCTTCAGTTTATAATTTAAAAGCCTTCACAATCTAGTGACAATCTACTTCCTTTCTTTTTTTTTTTTTTTTTTTTTTTTTTTCTTTCTGGTACTGGGAATTCAACCCAGGACCTTGCACTTATAAGGCAGATGCAATGCCACTGAGCTAAATCCCCAGTCCTGACAATCTACTTTCTCAACCTTGACTCCCACAATATTTCTGTATCCAACCATGCACTCAAACTAGACTAGTCTTTTGCCTTTAATGCATCTTATAAGTGTCCTCACCTCAAAGACACATTGGCATGGTATTATCTATTCAGAATGCCTGTCTCCCTTCTCTCTACCAGGGCAATTTCAGCTGAGTTTATAAGACCCAAGTTGAGTTCCATCTTCTTCCAAAATCTTTCCTAATTACCTTGACATATATCTCTGTTCACTAAGATTCTAAGACATATTTAATTTACCACTCATTAATTGGGGCCAGGGATTTAGCTCAGTGGTGCTGCCACCTGCCTTGCAAGTGCAAGGTCCTCAGTTCGATCCCCAGTACCCCCACACACAAAAAAAAATACTCATTAACAGATTACAATATTCTGCTTTAGCTGTCTTTATATTTGCCTCATCTTCCCAATTTGATTTTAAATACCTTGAAAACTGAGACTACAGCTTGGACTGTCTTTATTTTGTATATTTTTCCATGGTACACAATAAGCAGCATAAGTCTATGAAATTCTGAGAAAACATGTGGACTCTCTCACTAGAAAAACATATATTCAAAAATTTTGCCCGGGTTTCAAAAGTTCTTGATTATGATGAAGCCTTCTTTATGCTACTGGTGCAAGGAATTGCAAGAGCTAGGTGCATAATTTGACATTTAACAGATCGATGTGGAAAGAATGCATCATTTCCTTTCGGCACAGCACTTCAACTGTCAAAGGTGCCAAGCCTATCTGAAGCCCTAAGTATTTTCTTGTATCTTAAAAACTCCTTAAGGCATCACCGAGGCTGTAGTGAATATTCATGATTTCATCTCTTTCAGTTTATTCTAATTCTACCTGGGGATTGGAATGAGCTCTTTGCATCTATCAGTGCCACTTAGTGTATTACAGATGCAGGAAGTAGATAAAGACAAAAGCGAATTCTGGTCCAATGTACTGTGGAGAGCAGGTGGGTGCCGCAAAAAGCAAGTGAGATATTTCAATTCCAGATGGTAGTTGATTTTCTCATACAAATGTGAATTCAAACCAAGTAAGAATCATGGAATGCTTATATTATACATTTAATTCTCATGAGCCTTTGAGCCAGATATTTTAGCATGAAGTAAAGAGGCTTCACTGTAACCATTAATAGTATTTTCCGTGTGTGTGTGCGTGTGTGTGTGTGTGTGTGTGTGGGTGGGTGGGTGGTACCAGGGATCAAACTCAGGACCTTGCACAGCATCACCAAGCTAAATCCCTGGCCCAAAGTATTTTCCTTTTGAAAGTTTTTTTTATGTATGAATCAATTTTACTCCTCTTCTTAGCATTACTTTGACCCCTATATTTTATGAAATTATGACCTTGGTCTTACGCTAAGACCACATGAGCCTCCCTTTTCACCTTAGAGCACCTTACAAAATATACTCACACTAGCTTAATTTTGTGGCCCATAGCCAGGTCTCATCCCTGAGAATGTGTGGAGGGGAATGTGTAGAAGAGGGAGAGGAAGACAAGTTTGACACTGTCTTGCCCCAAGCGTGATGGTCAGAAAGCATAGAAATCACAAGAACTGCAATATCTGATTCTGTCAAACAGAGTCAGGAAGGGAACTGATAAAGACAAAATCTAGGATAGGTACAAAGAAAGCTAGCTTGGTGAGGAGAATAAGAACGAGCTTTCTGGGGAAAGCGAAATTTACAAACATTTGAGGCAAGAGAAATCACAGTGAAATCAATATATATATATATAT